ATTACGTGTGTGTGTGTGTGTGTGTGAGAGCAGAGGTGGGGAAATGAATCTGAGAGCCAGGAATAAAGGGACAGGGAGTGGCCCCCTAGACCCTGGAGGATCCGGCCTGTGAAGAACCATCTGGCCTTTGTGGACTAGGCCGGCCAAACCGGCTTCCTACCAGGCCTCAGCCAGGTGATCAGAAGCAAATCCCTGCCTTCCTCCAAGCCAGGCTGAAGCGAGCTTGGGTTTGCAAACCTAATGGGGAGCTTTTCTTCAAGTGTTGGTCACCCACCACATCCAGACGGCAGAGAGCCCCTTGCCTGGCGGCCAGTGTCAGGGTAGATGTCCACCCACCAGCGTCCTCCAGTGCCCTGAAGTTTCACTAGGCCTGGCGACAAATGAAGGGGTCAGGCAGTGAGTGGCAAGTGCTAGATGGGTTGTTTGAAGAGCAACGCCACCGGGCACCGGGTGAAGGGACACAAGTGACATTTTCTACATTTTTTTTTTTTGAGTTGGAGTCTCACTCTGTTGCCCAGACTGAAGTGCAGTGGCCGCTCCCAGCCACCGCAGCCTTGACCTGCCGGGCTCCAGCGATCCTTCTGCCTCAGCCTTCCGAGTAGCCGGAATTACAGTAGGCGCACGCTACCACACCTGGCTGATTTTTTTATTTTATTGTAGAGATGAGGTCTCGTCTGCCCAGGCAGGTCTCAAACCTGCGGGCTCAGGCAATCCACTCACCTCATCCTCCCAAAGGCGCGAGATTACAAGCTGAGCAACCGAGCCCGGCTATGTTAATTTTAACATGTTAATTTAAAATAAGCAATAAAGAGAAATCCAAGAAATCTGAATACACTGACAGAAGTTTCCTGGGAAACCAAGGAAGCAATTCTCAGGTTTTGGATGTACAGTGTTCAAGGTAAGCACTAGCCAAGCTAAACATGCAGGGGCTAGTGTCCAAGGAGTCAAAACTTCAAAATGTAACTTCAATATCTCTAAATAACATCTACTTTATTTTTTCTGATTATTGAAGTAATATGTAATGAATATATAAGACAATAAAAATTACCAACAATCTCTAAGAACCGTTAACATTTTGGTACATTTTCTTCTAATCTTGTTTCAGTGGTACAGCCATAGAAAAATATGACTATACCAAAATTAATTAAATAGTCCTCGATTCTTAGAAATTTATACTGTTACTAACTCTTCTATATCATGACTACATATGCGTACATGTGTGTATATATATGTACATACATATATAATATAATAAATGCTATAAATTTTATATGCAGCTCTGATTATTTCCATAAGACAGATCTGGAAATGAAATCACAGGGTAAAAGTCAGAACCATATTGCCAAATTGTTCTTTAGGAAAGTTCTATCCATGTGCATTTCCACTTATAATATATGAGTGTGCCCATCTCAGGGTATTCTCATAAGCACTGCCTATGAAAAGTTTTCAATATATTTGCCAAGTTCACAAATGAAACATGGGGCCTCAATGGTGTCTTCTCATACGTTCTTTGCTTTTTAATGAAGTAGAATATTTTAGATTTGTTCAAGTGGCCATTTGGATTTCCTTTTGTTAGTTAACTGTTTATTTGCATTCTCTGAATATTTACCAATTAGAGTTTTGGTGTTTGTCTTACTGATCTACAAAAATTCTTTACAGATTAAAATTTATTGTGGGCTTACTATGTGAACTGTGATAGGCACTTAAATGTATTATCTCAAGCAATACTAATAACCTATGAGGTTCATTCTATCCTTATCCCCTCTCTACAGATGAGCGGACTGAGACACACAGATAATTTACTTGTCCAAGGTCACAGAGCCCATGAACTGAGTACAATCTCTAACTGAGATTGTAACTAGGTAATCATTAGGGGGGAAAAAAGGATAAAATTAGATTCATATCTCACACCATACACACAAAAAAATTCTACGTAGATTAGGGATCTAAATGTAAATATTTAAACCATACAGGTATTAGAAGAGCTAATTACTCTTTAACATTTAATTAAAGCCTTTTCCTATACAATGACTCATAATCCAGAGGCAATAAAAGATGATCAATTTACATTAAAAAGTCTGCAAGGCCAAAAAAATTCCAACACAAAGCAACTGATAAACATGGAAAAATATTTGGAAATATATGCTGGAGACAAAATGTTAATGGCCCAAATAAATAACAAGTTCTTAAAAACAAAGAGACAAGAAAATCTTCTAAAACTTATGCTCTTTTTTTCCGAGTCAGGATCTCACTTTGTTGCCCAGGCTGAAGTACAGTGGTATAATCATGACTCACTACAGCCTCAACTTCCTGGGCTCAGGCAGTCCTCCTGCTTCAGCCTCCTGAGTAGCTGGAACTACAGGAATGTACCACTACCTCAGGCTAATTTAAAACATTTTTTTATAGAAATGAGGCCTTGTTATGTTGCCCAGGTTGGTCTCAAACACAGACATGAGCCACCATGCCTGGTCCAAAAACCGATGCTCTACAAGTCAGTTAATAATATTGTACCAATACTAAAATGGGAAAAACACAAAATACAAAATAGCCCTTAAACACATGAAAAAATGCTCAAACTTACTCATAATTAGAGAAATGCAAGTTAAAAGAACACCAAGATACTATCTCTCATCTATGAGACTGAAAATTCAAAAGCATGACAATGCATTCTATTGGCGAGACTGTGGAGCAGAGGTACTCTCATATATTGCCAGTAGGAATGCAAACTGGTACGACCCTTCTGAAGGGGAATTTGGCAATAGCTAACAAGACTACATATATGCACTTACCTTTTGACCCAGCAATCCCATTACTAGGTATATATACCTCCAGCAATATGAAATACATAAGCACAGAGTTATTTACTATGGCACTGTTTGCAATGGTAAAATATTGAAAATAATCTAAATATGCATATATCAGAGAATAGCTGAATAAGTTAAGGCAAATTTGCAAAATGGAGTACTATGAATTGTAACAAAGAATGAAAAATATCTCAATGACCTGACTTGGATAGAGTTCCAGGATATATTGCTAAGTGAAAAAAACAAAGTAGAAATGACAGTATGCTACCCTTCAATGTAAGAAAGAATTGGATATGAGAAAATACATATGTATCTGCTCATTTGTGCAAATGTAACAGAAAAGATAAACTGGAAACTAAAGAGATGCACTATCTAGAATTAATAGAGTCAATGGTAGAAAAGGGGTAGAAAGAAAGGGGAATGAGAATAGGAGAGCAGAAAATGAGAGTGACGTTTCTGAGTATCAGTATTCTGATATCCTTTTGGAATATTATTCACTTTTAGAACCATAGTAATAACAAGAAAAAATAATCCAAAAAACAAAAACAGGCATCAGTGAGACATGGGACACCTTCAAGGTGGTCTAACGTAGATGACGTAACTGGAGTCTTTGAAGAAAAGGAGAGAGGTGGGGAACATAAAGAAATATTTGAAGAAACAGTGCCCCCAAACTTTCCAAACTCAATAAAAACTATAAATCCACAGACCTAGGAAGCTCAAGAAAACCTAAGTGGAAAAAATCTGAAGAAAACAACAGCAAGACGTTTCATAATCAAGTTATTCAAAACCAATAATAAAGAGAAAATATCAAAAGCTGCCAGAAGGAAAAAAAAAAAGACCTACTATGTACAGAGACTAGGATGAAAGACGTCTCATCAGAAACAACATAAGTGATAAGATGGTGAAGCAACATTTCTCCAGTACTGAAACAGAGAGGCTTGTCAACCCAGAATTCATGGCAAAAAACACCTTTAAAAAATAAAGGCAAAATAATATTTTTTTCCAGACATACAAAAGCTGAAAGGATCCGTCATGAGAAGATTCACACCACCAAAAATTTTAAAGGACTTCCTTCAGGGAGAAGGAGATCGAGTGGAAGTGTGGGTCTATATAAAGGAAAGAAGAGCACCAGAGAAAGCAACTACATGGACAAATGGTCATGTTTTTTCCTTGTTACTTAAATATTTTAAAAGATAATTTTAAACAAAAGTGGTAGCATTGTATTCTGGGGTTTATGAGGTATGTAAAAAAAAAAGGCATGCCAACACAGATCGAATGATTGGGAGGAAGACTTGCTCTGGGCCCCAGAGAGCACGGAGGAGCTGAGGACTACAGTGCAAGTCCAGGGAGGCTCAAGGGCAAGTTCAAGAGGGCTCTGCTGATTCTGCCTGGTAACCGGTTTTTGAGACTGTTCTGTGCCCTGGTACTCAATGATAATTCAAGTATACTCAAGGAGTCTTAGCATGAACCTGGTAACTGCTCACTACCATCGTTTGCTTGGAAAGACATCTTGGCATTCACCACCTGGAGGTTCAACTGATGAAGGTGCGCCACTCACACGTGGAGAATTATTCCTAGGCTTATTAACTAGTGTCCAACAGAAGTGCTGGCACCATAACACTGAAAAGTGAATATCCTTCTTGTAAAGAACCTGGCCCAGGAAAAAGACAACTTTTTATACAGGGGTTGGCATGGGGGAATACAACACAGTTTAACGATAAACAAAACAAATTAGGACAATATTGTATTTTGAAAAAATTTGTAATAAAAAAATCAAAACAATAAATAAATTAACCAATGTTTTTTCTCTCTTGGGTCTTTCCCTTACATACCTCACCCGCTTGAGATTCTGAAAGTTCCAGGAGGAAAGGAATTTCTGTGTCAAAATTAGCAAAGAAGCTAGTCCACTGATGTTCAAAAGCCACCAAATCCTAGGAAGAAAGTGGAAGAGATAAAATACGTGGCCATACATAGGAAGTACTTTAGAAAATTAAAATCACAAAACCACAACCGACTTCAAAATACCTGACTATTTACATGTTGTTTCAAAAGGTAGCAGCAAAGTACTGATACATGCCACCATATGATGGATTCAAAAATATTCTGCTAAGTGAAGGAAGCCAGATGTAAAGGACCACCTGACATATGGTTTGTTTATATGAAATATCCAGAAAAGGCAAATCTGTATTAGTGGTTGCCTCGAGTTAGGAATAGGACTGGAGATTGACAGTAAGTGGGCATAAGAGAAGTTTCTGGGTTGATAAAAATGTTCTAAAATTCTACTGTGGTGTTGGTTACGCAACTCTAAAAATTTACTAAAAATCACTGAATTATACACTTAAACTGGGTGAATTTTATGGTATATAAATTATACTTCAATAAAGCTGTTTAAAAGAAAGAAAGAAAGACAGTAATGATCCTCCAGCGCCTTACTTTAGCAACCCTGTTGGGGGAGGAATTTATATATTTAAGAGGCACCTAAAGGATGGTACCATGTCCAGTGCCAAAGAAGCACATCAGTGCAGCACTGTCCAAGGACTACTTGATCTTAGTTAAAAGTCCAGTGGAGTCAGGGATGACGCAGAACCGTCCCCTTCCTCATGCCCTCTTCCTAGTGGTCACAAGAGTACTGAGGAATGCTGCGCCCTTCCTAGCTCGCTTCAGAATGCAGCTCCCACTCCCTACCCCCTCCTAGCTGCTTTCAACCTCCCCTGGAGCTCATTCTGTTCCCAAGCACCACATCTTGCTTTCTGTAACTGGCTTTTCTTGAAGGTATCATCAGCTAACAACAACAACAACAAAAACAACAACAACAAAAACCCAGTTCTGACTTGTTTGATTAAGATACTCCTTAAGTATCTTATTTTGAAGTTGCTGATAATTTGTACTCAAAATGCATAGCCGTCCTTAGTGTCCATCTCCCATTGTGTAAGGATACACACGTCAGTCTATTGCCTCACTCATAGCAGGCATTCTGTTTGTTGTACCAAAACTCACTGGCCAGATCTATTCTCTCCTCCACTCCTCTCCCACTTGAGGATACACAAGTAATCACACCTGTGGGTTCTGTGCTGGCCACGTACTGATTCTACTTCTGGACGCAGGCCTAAAGCACAATAGACCTCTACTGAGAAAAGTGTAACAATATTATCACTACTGGCTTCTTTACTTGTTGCCTAGACTATCTATCAATATCTATATACAGACATGTGTGTGCATAAATGTATACAAATATAGACATGTATATTATATATAATATATAACTGACACATGTATAAACTTCAGTAATCATGTAAGTGACAGTGCTGATCTTATTTCCTGAATGTTTTTGACATAATGTAGGATAAAACTAAGAAGGTATGTGTATAGAGAGACTATTTCCTAACTTTGGCCACTGAAGAGATCTAGAAACAATGACCAAATCAGTAGCAATGAACATTCATTCCTAGCACTCACTGTGTATAGAGAGACTATTTCCTAACTTTAGCCACTGAAGAGATCTAGAAACAATGACCAAATCAGTAGCAATGAACATTCATTCCTAGCACTCACCTTGTGGTGCTAAAATATCACTTTTCTTTCTTTTTTTTTTTTGAGTTGGAGTCTCACTCTGTCGCCCAGACTGGAGTGCAGTGGCCGCGCCCGGCCACCGCAGCCTTGTCCTGCTGGGCTCTAGCAATCCTTCCACCTCAGCCTTCCAAGTAGCCAGAATTATAAGTGTGCACTACCACGCCCGGCTGATTTTTTGATTTATTGTAGAGATGAGGTCTCGCTGCCCAGGTGGGTCTCAAACCCGCGGGCTCAGGCAATCCACTCACCTCAGCCTCCCAAAGGCACGGGATTACAGGCTGAGCCACCGAGCCCGGCTAAATACCACTTTTCATTCAAAGAAACCAGAACTCTTTAGAAAAATGATTGATTCCAACTCAGGACAGGAAATGTACAAGATAAGCCTGGGATATTTTAACAAAGTAGTTAGCAAAGACTATTAGTATTGTGTTATAAGAACTGGTGAACTAACTTGAAGGGAGTTCACTATCCAAAGATGGAACAATTTGAGTATCACTAAATATGGTGATTTCAATTAATATAAACACATCAAATATAATTTAAATCTGAGTTCAAAATTACATATGTATTTTTAAAAACTAATTGGTTCCTTTTGGAGAATGATTAGGAGTCAACTTTATTTTGAATACTGATGAATAAATGCAAGTTCAAGCATTTATCCTACTTTTCCTACATGGGCTTTACCGCTATCTAAATAGCAAGTTGAATATTTCTCTTTAGAGAATATACATAAAGAAGGAATTATAGAATTGGAATATCACTACTGTGCAATGGTAAATTAAGAATCTAAGGATTGCACATAAATCTCTGTTCACAAAACATAAAAAGAATCAATTAGACATCATGTACTTCTTGATAAGAATATAACACCTTCCTGCAAGTACTCTTTCCTCAAAAAATCAATACTAAAACTGAATAAATCTCTAGATTCATGACCAATAATAAAAAAATACAGAAGACAGATCAAAATGTTAAACTACGTCATGGGAATGCAATCCACAAAAATCTACTGAGGGCTACTATAAGACAAATGATCTGGTTTCTTCAACAAAGAGATAGTGGGCAGGGGTGGGGGGGCGGACAAAGAAATAGAGAAGAAACCTATAGACTAAAAGAAACTTAAAACATACACACCCATGTACACATACACACAGGCAAGCAAAGCTAAACTATGTGTTTATGGAAGCACATCTGGATATAAAACTGCAAAGAAAAGTAAGGAGATAATTACCATAGAATTCACGATAATGTTAATATTTGGGGAAAGAAGAAGGAGGTGAGGGGTTTCGCTGAAAGCACTCGAATTACTTCTGGGTGTGGCTAGCAAGGTTCTGCTGCTTTGTTGTATAACAATTCATTAGGTTGTACATCAGTTTTATACTATTTTCTGAGTCTGCATTATTTTAATAATAAGTTTTTAAAAGCAAATACACAGTATTATTTGTTCATTTTGGAAAACTCACAGAATAAAAACACTGTTAACACTCTGGGAAATGTTCTCTCCTCCTATATTTACATATGTATTCCACATATACGAACATGCATGTTACAACCAGTAACCTGCACTTGCCTGGGCCAGACTGCCTTGCTATACCACTTCTGTGCCTCAGGCCAGTAACCCAGTCCTTCTGGGTTTGGGTTCTCAACCCCCTACTGTCAGGTCCAGTCAGTACCCTTGATCCTGGGTACAGGACAGTCTTCCAACGTTGGCACTGGGTTACTCCCACATGTCCTTCTAAACTTTGAAGTACTCTTCCCACTCTCCCAATGAACACTCTACCCACAGACATTCAATGTCTGCCTGACTCCTCTGGTACCAGATCCAATCCTCATGTCAAGCTGGCTGCCACCCACATACTGAAAGTATGTTTCAGTTCAGAAAGACCTGTGCTAAACTCTGCCTCTTATGGGCTGTGTGACCTTGGGCAAGGAACTTAACCTCATTGAACTTCAAATGCCTTATATGTATATGTATAATTGGGATGACTACTATCTTTCAGAGATCTTTTAGAAATTAAATGAAATAACCCATATGAAGTGCTTATTGTCAGGCTTTGCACATTAGATGTCTTTAATATTTGTCAATTTCTCTGCTTCTACTGTAGGCCACCCATGGTTGGCTGTGAGGCCATCTGAGCCTTCCCCTTGACATCCTGACATCTATCTGCTATCTCTCTTAGACACCCATAATGCACATCACCAGCCTCAGGGAAGTTATGCTGAGTGTGTCTCTGCCTTGCCTGCTTGGCTCTATACAATCCCTTTGGCTTTGCCAGAATGCTTCACTTTGTGAGACTTCAAAAAACAAAAGGAAGCAATAAAGTGATCAGTACAGAATACACTTTGTGTTTTAATTCTATTTAGATACATACTCAGGAGGTAGGTTTCCACTTTATCAGCCTGCCTGGTGACATTCATCTTGGCTTGGGTCTATGACAGGAAGTAGTTACATAACTGAGAGGTAGTCATTCTCTGGCTATATTCCAGGTGAAAACCAGTATGCTTTGGGGGTTACACAGAAGAAGATAGGAACTTTGCTCCCAAGAAACCTCCCTGAAGGAGGTAGATATGTCAGTACTAATTACAGAATAAGGTAGAATGAATCATTAAATAATGCTTTCACTCTATGCATATTCCACTTTTCCAATGGACGATGCAACAAACTCTCATACTAAAAAATAACTAGCACTATATGTGTAATATTCTTTTATATATATTGTCCTTTTTAATCTTCCCAACATCCTTCTGTACTTCTCTATGCCCACTTTACAGATGAGATTGAGGCACTAAGCAGTGAAGTGACCTGCCTGAGGGCAAAATATTAATAAGCAGTAAAAGCAAAAATATATCTAGATAGACACACAGAGCATGTGTGCTTTCCACCAGACACACTATTCTCCAACTTTTCCCCAACACAAACACTACATTTGTGGAACTGTGTAGATAGTTGGAACTGATCAGCTGAATGGAAAGTTTATCATTCAGACTCTTCAACGCCAAATCCAGAAGACAGACTCAAGATATCAAGGTGAGAATAAGCAGCAGAGTTCTAAAACCACAAGAATCATGCTAGTGTGTCTTGGCCCTTAGCCAGAGGCAAGGACGCTGAACTTCAGACAGAACTCCTAGCCCTAGGCTGGCATCCAGCAGTGGCAGCTCTTGGGAGGCTCAAAGTCATATTCATGGCACCGTCCCTAAGTTAGGCAAGGGATGACTTAAGGACAGGGCGAGGGCAAAGCAGCCGCCTTGGAGCTGCTTCTCTCAGTGTTCAACAGAGAATGATTCTGAGGCTTTCAGACAGGCTTCTTCCCCCTGTGCCTAAAATGCTCATTCTACCTCGTCCTCTTTCTGGAAAAATTCC